AGACAAACTGGGCCTCTTTATTTATAGTACAAGGAGACATTACACATGTATGTTTCATGATACTTCATAGATTGGTTGCCAGGTTACAGACAATAAGAAGCAATTAACAAAGCTATGAGGGCTTAGTCATACCGGGCCAGGTGTGTCCCTTGATGATAATCCAATCAAGAGAAAGTCTCCTTATCCTCTTTTCTAATGCAGAGAACTAGCTGTTAGGTGTGGGGAAGGAGCTAAAGAACTTCTCTATAAGGAGTGCACCACCACACCCAGAGAAGGCTAAAGAACCTTTCAGATGCAGAGCAGGGATTGGATTTTACTAACTAGGGTCAAGATGTTTCTTGAAGTCCATCAGATGTGTCTGTTGGAACGCCCCTAGTAATTTCCACCCTTGCTCTGTCTGCAGCCAAGGTCAGGGAAAGACAAGTTACAAAGTTCTGCCAAACCCCAAAAGAGCAGGTGGTGTTTGCTCAGAGCATGTCCCCACACCTCAAATTCTCTCTCTTAAATGTGTCCCCGCACCACTGGGTTAGACATTCCTGTTTCTCACAGTGATATGGACAGGTAAGTCACTACTCAGATATACAAGTACTTTACTAAGAGCAGTAAGAAGAGGACTGAAAGCATTGTGATTTTTAGGCCTGCCCAGTAACATAATGGGGAATGTTATTTTTCTATCACTACATACCATCAAAGACACTATCTAAAACAAGATTGGATAAATCAAGGTGAGCCACTGAGGTAATTACTGTCGACTGTTGAGTCTCTATTCTGGGTCCTGTGTGATTGGAATCGGAGCTGCAGAAGGCGGTCTTTACCCAGACCAGATTTGTTGGACAGTACTCCTGATATCATGAGAAAGTGAGGACAGTGAAACAGTGATTCAGGGAATGAAGATGGGGCAACTGACATCTCATACTGGAAAGCTAGTCTGAGTATTTTCACAGCTTTTATCCATTAGTGCTCTGATCTTGAAGGTGTGTGAAGGACTTCTCACCTGTAGGAAAATACCATCAATACAGAATTTGATTCTTACTCTGACAGGGACCTTGGTGAATGAGTGGCATATTCTAGATGGAGATTATAGTGGGGATATTGTGGAAAGAAACAGGGCAAGATATAGATATGTTTTATATTTCATGTTATTCCTGTAGTGCCAGGAATGGATAACACGCACAAAAACTGGCCTTATGGTGAAAACTGTTTCTTGGGTCCCCCTGTGAGGAAGTATGTGTACTTCTTCGGGTATGTCATTCAGCCTCTAAAAATAATTATTAGAAGAGACAGTGATATTTATAAGGGAACATAAGTATGTTTACACAGGAAGGGTATATGAGGAACAATGTTCTTTCCTGAATTACTTTATCTTCCTTTCTACATTATTTGTATAGTGGAAATACCATTTTGAAATGATTTGAGATATTTTTCATTCCTCTTAATTTTTTTTTTTTGAGAGGTTTTTGCTATAGGATGTGTGCGTTGCCAGAAAGAGAGAGACAGAGAGATAGAAAGCAAGAAATCACCCCCGAGGGGAGATGGCCACGCCGCAATCCCTTCTCCTCCATTCTCCTCTCGGGATCTTGGGCACATACGCACACATGCTCGGCATGAGTTTAAGCCACCATCGGGTCCGGGATTCGAACCGTAGTTGACTACATAAGTTCTGAATTGCTTTTCTGACATTTCTGTTAATTATTGAGTCTTATCCATTGTTGGAGAGGAGTTATTATATTCCTTTGGAGGGAGATATTTCCTGGTTTTCTCATATTTCTTGGGACTCTGCTTTGATTTGTAGTCATCTACTTCTGTCCTCACTTCTTCCTACTTCTCTGGAGTAAATTTCTGTGCCATTTTTTCTTTTTTACTGTGGGTGGGAGTGTAGTATCAACAGTGGGAATTTTGAGTTCAGGTTTTCAGAGGCAAGTTTCTCTCCTTTTTCTGCTTGTGGATGTGTGGGAAGAGAACTCCAGAGCCTCAGTATCTTCAGGTATTTGTTTCCTGTATACTCAAACGTCTGGTTCTAATGTTCAATGTGTCTGGGGCTAAGCTGTGCAGATACAATGTAAGTCACGTGCAGCCACATCTCCCTCCCTCCAGGCTGAGCAGGAGCCTTTGGTGATTAGTAATTAAGAGTAGGTTGCTTTTTCCATATTCGTTGTTGACTATATTTGGATGTTTTTCTTCGTTAAATGCCTGTTTAAATCCTTTGTTCATTTCCTTAGTGAGCTACCTGTCATTTTCTGTTTGTTTTTTTTTTTTTTTCATGGTGTTCAGAAAACACAATTTGTATGATTTCATTTCTAACAAGTCTGTAGGACTTGTTCTATGTCTCATGATATTGTCAAGTATTATAAACATGTATTCTCATGAAAAGAACCCATACTATGTAGTTATTATATAGATTCAGTATTCTATACATGTTCATTAGTTCTGTTCTTCTAATTGTATTGTTATGGTTTAAACATTTCTATGGAAAACGTTCCTAGCAATATGAGAGAAGTTAAAATATATCACTAAGATTGTGAATTTGTGTTAGTTGTGTCGATTTTTATTATGTAGAGTTTGAGGCTATAATATTAGGTACACACAAATTTAGTGCAGATTTCTCTTGTAAAATGAATTTTTTTTTTTGAGAGGTTTTTGCTATAGGGTGCATGTGCTCACCAGAAAGACAGAGAGACACAGAAAGACAGAAAGAGAGAAATCACCCCCCAGCAGGGATGGCAACACCACACTTTTTTTCTGTCAACCTTTTGGAATCCTTGTGTTTCAATATTTCTCTTATAAATAGCATGTAGCTTTTTTTTTTTTTTAAATCACTCTGATAATCTTTACCTGCTAATTGAACCATTCAATCCATTTACATTTAATATAATTGCAATGTATTTGGGGTTATAAATCAGCCATTTTACTATGTAGTTTTATTTTTCCTACCTTTTCTTTGTTTCTTTTTCCATTATTTATTTTCCCATTAGTTTGGAAATCATACAGTCTTACCATTTTTTATTAATTATATTAGGTTACAATTTTGTATTTGATTTACCCAGCTCTAATATCAATTGGTATTTTTAACATTTTCCCAGACAATTCAAGAAACTTAGAACTCTTTAAATCAATTTGCTTCTCTCCCAACCTTGATATTGTTGTATTTTAATGTTAACTGTACAGTAAATTATTCATTCAGCCAATGTTCATTTAGATACATGCACATTTTTACCAGAATAAAATTTATTTAAACAAAGAAAATAATTTGTAACTAGATTCTAAAATCAGCTTTGACATTGTTTTAGTCTGACAATCCAAATTGATTGACACAAAATGACAAAACAATTTCACATTCTAGTTATACGCAGGCAGTAATTATCTAGGAATTAATAACATTTTTCTTTATGGTGTAATCATAATACAATGGTCTATGAGGCTGAACCACATAGGAAAGTTCTTGGTTTGTATCTGAAGACCTCTGCCAGGGTGAGCATTTGCCCATAATCTGGGGCTGGCTGAGGCCAGGAGTAGAGTGTAATATGAGAACCCTGTTGGAGTGCTCTCTAACAGCTCCTAGAAGGAAGGAAGGAAGGAAGGAAGGAAGGAAGGAAGGCCGGCCGCCTATTTTTCCTTTATATTCTTCTCCTTAAGGAAACTAAGAGATTTAAATAATAAAACCTGGGACCTAGAAAGATGTGTCTGCCTGAAAGAGAAAATAGATCTTAGGTCTATGATAGAGTAGAGAAACAAATGTTTATGATAATAGACAAATGTTTATGATAATAAAAAGTTTGTGGAGGGCCAATTCTGTGGCTTAGTGGTTAAGGGAGCTAGATCCCACATGGCTGACAATACAGTTCAAGTTCCAGCCCTGGAAGCTATAAAACATGCTGGGCACATGCATATGCTTGCCTCAAATCTTGATAGGATGGTGTAATGATGGAAAAGGGATTATGGTGTGACCACATCCATGGGGGGTGTACTCTTCCCTTCTCCCTCTCAGTCTCTTTGTTTCTCTCCAGAGACAAAAATTTGCTGTTTGGCAATTAAAAAACTTTGTGGAAAAATTGAACTATAGTATGAATTTATTTCGGTGCAAAAAATTATTTGAAATCCACGCACAGTTTTTTTGGTAGTAATGCATTTTCCATGATTATATATATATATATATATGCACACATATATATATGTGTGTGTGTGTGTATCTATCTATCATCTGTCTATCAATCATCTATCTATCATCTATCTATACTCACATCAATGGCATCATTGAGGCAGGATAGATAATGTATCCTGGAAAGCTGGAGCTTGGGGAACCTAGAGCCAGGAGGAAGTGTGTCTGGCATCTCCTGGTTGCTTACCTTGTTCTCTGAAGAGTTCATCAGTGGACAGAGAAGAGGGATTACATCACTGAAGTGCACCAACCTGTTCCTGCAGTGGTTCCTCTGGTTATCTCCTCATACATGCCAGAAGTGGGAGTAGTTCCTGACATGTCCCCACGTCCAAAGTGGGGATGCCATCTTTCAGGTGTGTATCTCAGAGGGAAGCCAGAGATGGAACCCTGACGCTGGGGCAACACCCAGATCTGTGGTTCCTCCCTCTAACGGGTCCGGGACTACCAGAAGAAGAGGTCACAGGCCTGCAAGGATGTCAGAGCTTAGCAGACTACTTTCGAAGTCTATGAAGATCTCTGTCCATAAACTTAGTAAACAAGAGCTGCATCCAGGCTTCGCTATGGCCATTGTTTTCTCTGCATCCCTTTCCGAATGCACCGGAAGACCTCTTTGCTCTTGAAAACACTGTACCCTGAAGGCACTGCTCCATGGCATGAGGAGCTTTGCCAAGCTCTAGGACTCGGCCAAGCTCTCGCAGCTTCAGCCATGGTGGAGGGGTGAGCCTCCCCAGAGCTCTGACAGCCAACTGTGGGCCACCGGTGGTAGCAGAGGAGGCCGCAGTGGGCGGGGCCCAGGCGGAGGCACGTGACCGGAAGTGCCAGAAGGGGCGGACGTCGTCGCACAGGGGTGGGAGGCCGCGCTTTCTGAGGAGGAGACCCGGCTTAGCTAGGGGTTCCAGTGACAGGTGAGCCGCGGCCTTGGTGGCAGAAGGGGTTTATGAGAAGCAGGGGCAGTTTGGGGACTGATTTTGGGGCTTCATATGCTCAGACTTCATAGCGTGTACAAGGCTCTGAGGCAATTTTGATAGGGGAAAATTTACCTGTGTTCCCCAAATCCAGTGTTTTAGACAAAAGGATGTGCGTGAAAGAGCCCGGAGTTATTCCAGAGTGACACAAAGTCAGAATCTCATGTAGACACGGAGTCCACACGGTGGGCGATGTGGATCATACTCGATGTAACCCCTACTCCCATCCCCCCATGTCCCCATTCCCCCATCTTCCCCTCCAACCCCCATTTTGAGCAGACTCTCCACATAGTCGTCTTATGTAGGCCTCGTTTCCCAAAACTGCACGGGAGAAAGTGTTGACAGGAAGGGTGAAGACGACAGTGACTTAGGAAACAGAGGAAGGCAATGAAATGGAAAAGACGTTAGGGCATACAAGGCAGCTATTTTTAACAAATATGTTAATGCTCGGAGGTCAGAGATGGTTTGAATGTTTTCATTCTAAGCATGGTACTTTGTTAATTAAAAATAGGCATATTTTTACCACTTTAGTTTCTATTTGGAAAGTTGAGAATTTTTCTCATTTAAAATACTGCAGTCTGGTACAACATTCAACTTTCACCCAAACAGGAGATGCTTTTGCGAATTTATTTAATCCTTAAAATACCATGAGATAGACACTATTATTTCAATCTATTTTGTGTAAAAACTATTCCAGGAAACTGTGATTCAGAGACACAAATTAATCTGACAAGACCACACAAGTGATTAATGGCTGAGCCAGGATTTGAACCCAAGAGAACTCTGGTGTTTGTGATGTTAACCACAATTCTGTATAGTTGCTCAAGAACACATTCAAAATGATCTTATGTTAGGGCTAGCAGGTGGCATGATGGTTAAGGCCCACTACAAATTTCGGGTCCTAGACATGATGACCTGAAAAACACCCAGGGCACCTGTGCAAAACACGCAGGGCACAACGTGCACACTTGCCCAAAATCTGGAGAGGAGAATGTAGGAAACCATCCTCCCTGAGGGGTGATTTCTTTTTCCCTTTTTTTTTTTTCCTAGTCTTTGGGTACACCCTATGCCACAAAAATCTGGGGAAAAAAAAATTTAATTCCTGAGGAGAGACAATAACCACGAAGGAGGCTTTCAATTTTAAGAACCCAGCATTTGAAGACAGAAACTTTTTATTCTCATCCTTTAAGAATATTCTTTCTCTCTCACCAGTCCTCCCATCCCCTTTTAGAATCAAAACCCTTTAGAGGAAGAGCTATACCCAAAAGCTTTGGGCCTATGAAGAAGAATGGACTTTTATGTTGCTTCTTTATGATCATCAGCATGTTTATTGTACCTTCAAAAACATTTTTAAAATTTTATTTTTTCGGAGCAACAAATCCTTAGAAACAGTGAAGTTATAGATAGTAAATGTTTTAAGTTTTATAGGTCATATAGTTTCCCTCATGAGAACTCAATTTTACTCTTGTGGATGAAAGCCCTAGACAGTATATAAATTAACAGGGCATGGCTATTTTCCAAGAGAAAATTATTTATAAAAACAGTTGGCACATGGGGCCGACAGGTGGCAATGGTTAAGGGTGCTGGACTCTAACATGGCTGACCATAGTTTGAGTCCCAGACCTGGAGGCTTGCTTTCTCATTTTCTCTCTCTCTCTCTCTCTCTCTCTCTGTGTGTGTGTCTCTGTGGAAATATTAAAATAATAATAAAGTTAAATAAAATAATTCTTAAAAAAAGAAAAAAAGATGGCTCATTGGGTTTGACTTGTGGGCCTGGCTATCTCTATAGAGACAGCCCTGGTCTAGACTTTATAAAGTAATTTGTAGGTCATTTTTTTCTGAATAGTAATCAATGTGTGTTAAGTACATTCTCTGTCAGGCACTGTGCAAACATGCATATGAACTAATTTTGTACACTAACTCGATACGATAAATACTTTGAGAATTCTGTTGTACAGGTGAGGAAAACGTATCAAGATTAAATTACTCATGTATCTCTTAAGTGGAGCTGAGACTTTGCTAAAGGGTGTCTGTCTCACTAGAGAGACAGAAAACAAGAAATCACCCCCCCTCCCCCCAGAAGGGATGGTCAAGCTGCAATCCTTTTGCCACCATTTTCCTCTCAGGATTTTGGGCATGTGTATACATGTGCCTGGCATGAGTTTCAAGCCACTAGGTCCTGGACTTGAACCGTGGTCGGCCATGTGGGAGTCCAGTGACGTAACCATTATGCCATCTGCTGGTCCAGAGACTTTGTTCTTATATGCTATGTTCTACTAATTGGTTCAAACAGATTACTTGTTTTATAGCATGCCAGGATTATTTTATTTTTATTTTCTTACTTATTCTGATGTATTACGTTGTCAGAAAAGTTGTGATGCATTTTTGCTTCAAAAACCACATCATGACTTTTCCCACAACTTGATATTTGGGAACTTTTTTCCATTATAATTATGCATAATTTTTTTGAGTCTACAGTTTATTTATTTTTGAGTCCGCAGTTTTAGCCTGTGACATTTCTAGCTACAACTTTAAAAAAAATTCTCTACTCCCAATTTATATCTGATGCTTAGCATGTAGTAATTAATATTTATATAAAACTCATGGCTTACAATACTGTATCTGGTATGACTACAAATATAAAGAAATCTAATGACTTCAAAGAACACTGAAGAGCAATATCCAAGAATTCAGGAGATAAGTGCTTTTAGAACCACTTGACAAAACTGTAGTGGAAGATGTAGACACAAGATCACTTCTCTCTACAATAAGGGAACTGAAGATAAAAGACCATTCTGGGAATGTGAGAGGTTTTCTTTTTGTTCTTTTCAAGTATGCACGTGTCAGCTGAGAAAACTGGAGTACATCAAATAGAAGGGTGTAATTCTAGGGGCACAACTGACATCCTTTGTGAGACTGGTTTTTTCTTCACCAAAGCATAGTGGTCCCAAATCCAACTCTTGGTGAGTCTTAGAGGCACAATGATATCATTAAGTGAGCAAGCACTCGAAATCATCAGAAAATAATTTTTATGTTCATATGTTTTCTTTTGAATTCATGTTTTAATTCAGTAAAAAAGAAATTTTGCCATATAAAACATCTAAAAGGAATACTCATTGTCTTTAGATTTGAGAATTTGCAGAGTACTATGTCTTTGTAAAACTTATTTCATGATAGTATTTTTTTAACTGCAGAAAAGTTGAACAGATTCCTTTAACCATCTTATTTTTGTGTCATTTTTTTGTAGTCTTCAAGTAGTATCTGTGTTTTCCGGTAAAGACAAACACAAAACAATAGGCTAGAATATAGATCCCTGCTTATGGTTCTGTAGAACAGGACAGAAATGCTAACTGAATCTAGATTTCTTGAATATTTTTCAGCTTCTTATACAACTGAATTAAACAAATAGCTGACAGGAGAAATAAGTCATTTTAGGCAGAAGTTGCTGGCATTTCCCCCCCTCATTAACAGTTTTATTCATTTAGAATACATCACCAACATGGAAACTTGCTGAACATTATAACTATTTTCGACTTTTGAATTTATGCTGAAATTATATTATCCGATTCTCTTTGTAGCCTACCTGTATTTCACTGCAGAAATTGACATTAAAGAAGTCTTTTTTGCTCACTTGTCATTAGGTCACTAAAATAAATGCAGTTCTTGCAAACATCAAAGTAAAGAATCAGAGAATGTTAGAGATGGGAAGAACTTTAGAGATTATTTAATTTAGTATTTCTCAACCTCAGAAGTATTGATAATTTAGTTTGGGTCAGTCTTTGTTGTGGGGTGAGTGCAGTGGGGGGAGGTCATCCCATGCATTGTAGCATATTTAGTAATATTCTTGGTTTTTACCCACTAGGTGCCAGTAGCATACCCATATCTAGCCCTAGCTGTGACAGTCGAATATTTCTCCAAATAGTGATAAATGCTTCTTGGGAGAGGGGGTAAAAAATCACTCTCATTTGAGAAATGCTGATTTAGTACAATCTTTTCATTATAAAATGATATGAATGTCCTGCCTATGTTTCCTTAGTTAAGAGATACTCTCACTTATCCAGTTAGTAGCATAGCTAGGTCTAGTATGCTTGAGGTAAGATAAAATGAATGGAGTTATGGATATAATTAAGGCTTGCCTTTAAATAGAAATGACAAGTCTAAAATTTTAATTTAGTAAAATTCTTTTTGCTTTTATGATATTTTCTGTTATTTTTAGTTCTTTTTTCTAGGGTCCTGAGATTATGCTATTGATCAGTGCTACTAAAAGTCACTGAACATTCTGTTTAAGTCAACTATTTATGTATTTTCTTTTGCAGCAAGCCATTCTCAGTAAAGGAAGCCATGTGTTGATTCCTAATGCAGGCTCATCTCATTGTCCCATGAGAGTTCACAGACAAACATCAATCTCTCGTCCCTTATTGCGTAGCATTAGATACTGCTTGGACATGCCTCACCTTGGGGCTCTGGTCTCTGCTTAGCATAGTCACAGAATAAACCATATTATTACCTTTATTAAGCTCATTAAATGTAAATAATTATATATCAGTTCTCTTAAAACACATTGCATCTTTGCGAGAATGCCCTAGTAAGAGAGTCTTTTGATGATAACACTAATTCTATCAGACATTGAAAAATTCCATATAGGAGAGTGTGTAAATAAATGCAGTTCTTGCAAACATCAAAGTAAAGAATCAGAGAATGTTAGAGATGGGAAGAACTTTAGAGATTATTTAATTTAGTATTTCTCAACCTCAGAAGTATTGATAATTTAGTTTGGGTCAGTCTTTGTTGTGGGGTGAGTGCAGTGGGGGGAGGTCATCCCATGCATTGTAGCATATTTAGTAATATTCTTGGTTTTTACCCACTAGGTGCCAGTAGCATACCCATATCTAGCCCTAGCTGTGACAGTCGAATATTTCTCCAAATAGTGATAAATGCTT